ATATGTACACATAATAATAGGATATAAGTTAAATTATGTAATATGATACATAACTATAAGATAAGTGAAGGAATGTATATATGATAGAGATTATGTATGAGATATAAGAAGAGGTAGATGTGATTAGGTGAAAAAGAATACAAACATATATTAAGCCATGTTACATGAGATAAATGAATGATATGAAAAGTGAAAAAACAAAGTATGCTTGATCTAGGATAATATACGAATCTTATAAGTTTTATGATAAAGATGGAACATGTGATTTAAACTGCAAGTTAAAGAAAGAATATGTTATCTGTAAACATAAGATAATTCAAGGGTAAGCGATATGAATGTGTTATATGTATTGTAGGATAAAGATCGATGGAACATATAAGAACATTAATTGAGTTACTTGATAATAAGTCATAAGGTATATGCATAGGTAATATAAGTTATAAGATGAGAATATATAAGAATATCAAATAAGTTATGAGATAAGTTATATGACATTGATATATAGACTAGATGAAAGTATACACATGAATACATGTATAAGTTTATATGCTATGGGATATTCCATGAACATATGTGATATGATAGCTATGAGACATGATCTACGTGATTACATGTATATGTGATGCTTGTTAAACGATATGAAATAGATGTTTACACATACATTTGGTATGTGATAGAAGAGAATGATATTTGAATATGGGAAATAATATGAAAGAGAATGCCCATGTTATGTGAAAAGAGAGCTAGAGGTATAGTTGGCATGCCAAGAGTCGAGGGTTACCTATGACTTTCGAGACAGTTTACCTAGGTTCTTTGGGACCTATAGACAGTTTCCAAGGTTCTTTATGACCTCTGGATAGGTCCTTCGGGACATTTATACGAGCTGTGGTGACAGCGTAGTGCACAACCTCAATAGACTCACATATCTATAGTTCTCAAAAGTGTACATGGGCTAAACAAAGAGATAACAATGAAGATGGTACTTGTGAAGTATATGCTTTTGTGATATGAACTGTATTATATGATTGATATGATGATGTGTGTATGGTTTGAATGAGTCATATGTTGATAAAAAGGTATGATTAAAGGATATAAATGATAATAATATGGATAATAGAATAAGATTATGATGGAAATAATATGTGATGTGTATATGTGTACATTATATTATATAGAATGATTGTGTGACATCATAAAGTGATATGTTCATACATGTTTAAATATTTAGAGTTTTCTTTATAAGTTTAATGCCTCACTAAGTCATAGACTTAGCGTGTGATTGTTTCACACGTAGGTTATAGAAGCGAGAAGAGAAGCGAAGAAGAGCAAGAAAGGTTAGCATCTCCCTTACAAAATTTCAGATCAGAAAATAGATGATTTAAATGTGTTTGATTATTTTGATTATAGTTGGCATGTACTAATAAATTGAGTTGAATATGCTCTGATCGATTTTGGTCAATTTATGTAAATAAACCGCTTTTGTTTTAATGAAAGTTTTAAATTTTCTTTGAATTTTGTCAAGAGTCAAAGTTTGAAAATTCAATGTGACACCTCAGACTCGTATTCGGGTCGGGTACAGGTTGGGGGTGTTATATAACTTCTTCTTAATAGGGTACACCCAACATCTCTTAGAGTAGTCATTAATAAATGAGACAAAGTATTTTGCTTTGCCTAGGGATGTAACTGGTTCTTGCCATACGTCAGAATGAACCAATTCTAGAACACTTTTGCCTCTAGAATTTGACGTGTTGAATTTCAACCGGTGCTACTTACATGTTATGCAATGCTCACACAAAGTAAGTGATGCCTTTGTTAAGCCTGAAAGTAGTTTTTGTTCCACAATGACTTTCATTTCTTGTTCTGACATGTGTCCAAGTTTATGATGTCACAGCATTGCAGAATCTGAACTACATAAGGTAACAAAGGCTTCTGCTTCTAGAAAAGTCTCTCCCTTCAGTATGTACAAGTTTGTTGCTATCTTTTCGCCTTTCATCACCACAAGCACTCCACAGAACACCTTCATGATTCCTTTCCGTGTTTCAATCTTGTTTGCATTATTATCCAATAATCCATAGGATAATAATTTTTTCTTTGGTCTTTCAGGTGCAACGCATCTCGAACAACTTTAATTGTTCTATCATACATCTTCATTGATGGTTCCCCCAACGATCTCTAAGGCATGATCATTGCAACTATACACAGATCCTCCTGATACAGGTTCATAATGATGGAATCATTCTCTTCTTGAGGTCATGTGAAATGTTGCTCCTGAATTAATGAGTCATATATCTGCAAATCTTTTTCTACCTTCCATGGTGGTTGACGCTTCACAACATAGAGCATCTCCATCATCTGAAGTGTTTGCGGTATTGCCTTGTAGATTGGAGTTTTTATTTAGACTCTAACAATCATTCTTCAAGTGAACCTTCTTTCCACAGTTGTAGCACTTTAAATTCTTCTTGCTTCTCGACTTTGATCTACCATGTTTGTGACTGTTGCTTTAGCCACGTTCTGTTGATCTCCCTCTCATCGTTGTCAACACTTCTTCTTGTTGTAGATTTACTTGTCTGTCTTCCTTGTTCTTGCGCTGATTTTCTTCTTGTAGAATAGCAGCTGCAACTTCGTCGAAGACTAGACTAGTGACATTATTGTTTGTCAAGTTGATGATGAGTTGATCATACGAATCCGGTAGACTTTGAAGTAGAAGTTCAACACATTCTTGTTCTCCTATTTTACAGCTTAAGGATGTAAGCTGAGAAAATAAAGTGTTCAGTGTGTTTAAGTACTCCGTCACTGAAGTAGATTCTGGCATACGGAGAGTGTACAATTTCCTCTTAAGAAATTTTTTTTTGCAACGATGTGGCCTTGTACAGTTTGGTGATATGATTTCATATCTCCTTAGTTGTCTTCTTCTCCTCGATGGTTGACAATACTTCATCTGCTAATGCTAGATGAAAGTTTGTCATATCATTCTCGTCCATTTCGATCCATTTGTTGTCATCTGTGAAATCTACCAGTCTTTCACTGATAGCTGCTAGACATCCGTCTTTCCTCAGGATGACCTTCATCTTCAATTTCCACAATGAGAAATTTCTCCCATTGAACTTTTCAATATCAAATTTCTTTGCCATAGGTTCTATTACGGATAGCTCCCAATATTTCACTATCGTGAATAGTTCTCTGGAACCTTAAAAGAATAGGTAATACATTATTACTTTCTTATGTTAGAGGATCCACCTTTTGGTGGCAACCACAAAAACAATAAGTAGATATTACACACTCTAATCTGGCTCTTGATACCAATTGTTGCGGAATACGATTATCGGATAGAGCTAAATCGCAAATGATAATTTGAGAAAATAAAAATGAAGATAAAGAAAACACAAATTTTACGTGGAAAACCCTTAAATAATAGGGTAAAAAACCACGGGCAAAGATAGAAGAATTTCACTATGAGAAAATAGGAATTACAACTTCTCTGTATCTAACAAGGAGAAATATTAACAATCTCTTGATAAAAAGGAGAAAACCAATTCTCAAGAAAACTCTTTAAATTCTCTAGTATTGGGAGAAAGCTAGAATGATTTGAGATGGTTTTGAAGCTAAATGGGTTAGGGTATTTATAGTTGAAGTTTAAAGATTAATCTTGTAAATACTATAAAGTACAAGGATTAAATGTGTAATTTTTTCATGTCACTATTCAACATTACTCGAAAAAGGAAATTTACATAGAAGTTATTGATAGACCTCAGTAGTATAAGGAAATATTGTTCTCTCTAAGATATTTGAATTTCAGTAACTATGTTTACAGAGTGTGTATTGTCAATAAGTTAAATAAATTCTGATATCTTATAATCACAACTCGATAAAAGGTAAAGTAATATAATCAACACAAATGTTGTTTGTTTCTACTTTGATTATGTGCTCACATCTTTATATCTTCGTGTATTTTTTATTGTCATTCACATGTTCCTCGATGAAGAAATTTAACCATGGGGAAAAATTTTCTGGTTCGTTTAGGGAATGATGCGAGCTACACCATCATCATTTCACCAAGTTTATCTCATGGACTTCTTTACTTGGACCACATACGCCTCTTTTTAACTAGGAGTTTGAGCATAAGAAGGAAGGTCTGAGCTATAATAAGGTACGACGGTCGAGAGTAATGGATGCCAATGCCTCACCCTCAGTCGTGGTAAGGTTGAAAAGACTCAACGACATGCACGAATAAGCATCCATGAGGATACAGGGAGTCACACCTTAGATGACGACACCTACAAAGGCAACATGAAAAAGCAAGCGCATCTGCTACAAACGATCCTCCTAAGGCTCATGAGCATCGACAATCCTCGCCTACAGGCAGATAACAACGATTATAAACTAACTCATTCTGATAGGAACACTCCTCACGAGAAATTATCAAACTACGGAGTCACACCTTAGATGACGACACCTACAAAGGCAACATGAAAAAGCAAGCGCATCTGCTACAACGATCCTCCTAACGGCTCATGAGCATCGACAATCCTCGCCTACAGGCAGATAACAACGATTATAAACTAACTCATTTCTGATAGGAACACTCCTCACGAGAAATTATCAAACTACTCCCAACTCAGGTACTCAGTAAAACCCTCTATGAATATCAAGTAATATTTGAAAAATTAATACATATATGTATTTTAGATATCTTTGTGCATACATACGTATGATCTCTAGGAACGTTCCTATTATCCTTCATCATGCTTCCATGAGGTTGAGCTACCTCCACTATGTTGTCATAATTGGAATGCTTCTACTCTATGTAAAATTAGTAGCATGTATAAAATTTATGGGTTAAGTTAAAATTTAACAATTTTTATTAACATATCGCCAAATGATACCGTTCGAAATTAAAAGTGATCAAAACGTAACATTTTAAAATTGGTGACAAAACTGAAACAAGGCAAAAACATAAGACACCAGTGTTCCTCACCGATGAATGGGGAAGTGGTAATAATGGATCGTTTTCTGGTTTCTTTGCTTATGTGTCTGTCTCCAAATGCCTTGAATCTTCCTCCCCTTCTTCGATAAAATCAGGTACCACAGCTTTTCTTTGCAATTTCGATTGTTTCATTCTTCAAATTTATTGCTTTGAAAAGGAAACCCAAGCTTGAAAAAAGATTAATTTGATTTAAATGAGAAAAGCTTTATGGTTAATTTACTAAATATTGAATTTGTTGAGGATTCTTGATTTGGGTAATCATAATTTGTCTCTTTAAATTTAGTTCTTCTGAAAAGACTTGGTTTTCCAACCTGAAATATTGCTTTCTGATGACAAGTTGTTATGAAATAATCCAAGGCTGAAAATCTTACGCTGATCTGTAATTTATTTTCTCAATTGAAAATTTCGTATTTTGTATGCATGATATTTAATATCTCAATAAAAAAAAGAAACAAGAAAGCTTGGATATGTATTGAAGATCAATTTTGTCCTTGTAAAAAAATGTTTGTTATTAAAATGCTTCCATATGGTGCTGTGAGAAGAGGGTGTTCATATTTTTTTGCCCATAAATGATACCTAGGCAACTACTAGATAAATATATGTTTTGGGGTGTCCCTTTTTGTTTCAATAATGCTTCAGGTTTTGGTCATTGATCTGGTCAAGCAAAACATTTTACTGGATCCAGGTGTCACATTCTTCTTGTTAATAGAATGATTTTTCTTCGTTTTGTGCTCTGTCGATCGAAAAATGGACGATTCATGGAGCTAGGACCTCAGCTAAGCATGCTGGATGAAATAGCAATAACACCTGGGTGACTTAAATGGAAATGGTGAGTTATGTGGATTCAACTTGTCATCATTTTGCATAATGAAGTTTTTTAGCTCTCTACGGATTTGTTTTTGTTTTGTATGTTCATTACCACTGATCATAGAATGTGTGAAGGTAGATTTTCATGATTTCTTTGTATGCTAGGGTATGGTTTGGGCTATTATATTATGAGAAGACTTAAAATTCTAGCTCGATTATAGGGTTGTGAATATTACATGAAGTGTCTGGCAGTTAGTTCAGTATGTAGCAGAAATGTTGATCTTATTATGCTAGGAGTTTGGTTAATCAAGGGCATTCAGTTTTCATTCGTTAACTTCAAAAGATACACAACAAGAAAGGAATTAAGGAAAAGAAGCATTAAGCATTGAAGAAAATTAGTTATTTAAATTCATGTTATTGCATTAAGCGTTGAAGAGGAGTTATCTAAATTCATGTTATTGAATACAAAATAGAAGAGGTAAGGATGTGAGAAACAAATACTCATAAATTGGCTTAATTACTTGGTGATTCGTCTTCGGGAGGAAGGGTTTGACTGTTACACATGCACACATTTGGGGCCTTCATTATTTCTTTAGTGACCAACCATCTAGTGAGCTCTGTCCAATGTCCATCTCTCCAAATTCAAATAAAAAAAGTTCTTTCAATGAGTGTCATTACTCATTTGCTCACTAATTATTGCTGGTTGATTGTGTATATTGTTTAAGTACATGGTGCTGCCTTCAGGATAAGGGTTGGTGAAGATTATGTTTCACTCTGGTGGAAGGATGAACTAAGGTAAACATTTATTTTCAAAAGCATATTTTTTTCCTGAAGGAGTCAAGATCATAGTTACGATGTGCATGTTTGCCAAAATGTATGCATGCATAGAAGGAATCCATTTGTATTGATATTAAGTAGTTATAATGCTTCTTCAGCAACTTGATTTCATCCCTTTGGAAGATATAAAATTACTCTTCATTTTTAACCTCCTAAAGGATACCGTTTTTAACATATTCTATAGCAGTACCAGCTAGTTGGATTTGTTCTAAGTTTATGATGTTTTCGGTTCATTGAATTTCTAGGACCATGCATCGATGACGGTCACCTGAAACAATGGAATCATTGACTTGACCCTGGATATTTTTAAAATGGCTTCAACCATCTACAAGGTATCCTGCCTGCCCATCTAACTACTACCCCACCCTTGAAGCTTTGGTTTCACAGAATGTGAATTATTCATTTCATGTTCCGGTTTTACAACACATTAATTCAAACAAGCTTGTACTTCTTTCCTCTTTCGCAAACAAACTTGTGCATAAGACATGATCTTTGAAGTTTCACCTTCCTTTACTTTTGTTTCCTAGTTTTTCATTTATGTTCTCTTTCTTCGCTAAAAAATAGTAATTCTTTTCACCTTTGGAGACCTTTTAACCTAAGACGAAATTTGGCTTTTTCATTGAGGTCTAAAATAGTTACTTGGGGAAAACATCATTCCTAATGGATTGAAAACTGCAGTTTATGGCATTTCTTCTATTAAACTTGAACCAGATACCAAACTCATTGATAGCATTGGATAACCTAGTTATTTGTTAAAAGTTCAAACTATGTCTTTTCTGATGTCATTGTTTTGGCCAAATTCATTGGATCATTTGTGACATCGCTGAATTGTTTTATATATAACGTACATACATTGTGGTTATTTGAGCTTGGTTACACAATTTTTTTATGCAAAATACTGAAAAAAGAGGACTAGAAAATGAGTGGGATGGAAGGCATTTTTGTTTTCCTTCTAGTCTATTGAATAAAAGGATCAGATTTCTTTTGTCATGCTGTGGTTTGGAAGGGGTTCTGTTTTCCTGAACTATGTCATCAGTTACCTTATAGTACATTATTCTTTTTCCTTAACACGTTATCAACTATCTAGGTTCACCGGATAATTTTTTACCCATTTTCATAAATTCTTACAAAGGACATCCTGCATGACATCATTGTGGTTAAACTATTTCTTTTGGGCAAGGTTTTGTCAATGTTGGGCTGTAGATTGTGAAGAGTAAATTCGTTTAAAAAAAAAAGAGGCTTCTTATTCAAGTGGATTTACGTTTGTGCATATGTATGGTTTTGCAGTGCCATTTTGACATGTTGAACTACATTCATCTCGTAGACATTGTTGGGTGCATAAAAATTCTGGTTTTTATGTAGATGTTTGTTTTCATGATTTTAATGTTGTCTTTATGCTTTTAAGGTCTTAATAATAGTTAGTGCTAAATATGTGTGTGTGTATATATATATGTGTGTTGGGATAAATGAAGCTCAAAGTGACAACCGAAAATATGCCAAGAGGAGGTGAATTGGCAACATAGAGTTTAGGGAGTAAGGAGTATAACGATAAGGAAATTTGCATAATGATTTATAGTGGTTCGACTTATCAACCAAGTCTACATCCACTACCCAAGCTCCTCACTTAGGATTTTCCAACAAATCCACTAATTTGTTCTTTCTTTTTCAAGGACAAAGAGATAACCTTTACACTTCCTAGTTTTTCACTTGGCTAAACTAGAACAAAAACCCCTTTACTAAAAGGAAAAGAGATGTAAACAAGAAAACCATTACAAGGTAAGTGCTTACAAGATTAAGCTCACAAAAAACACAACTATTTACAATAGAAAGAAAATAAAGAGTGAAAAGCTCTTCTCTTGTGTTTGAATGTTTGGATAGGTGTTCTAACCTTTCTTCAAGTGTCATCAACTTATTTTTATATGTTGGAATGTGTTTGTGGCCGTTTTTAGCCGTCGGGGATGTTTTATCTGCAAAATAAATCTGCCTAGGATAGGGAGTATCGGTACTTCTTTAATGAGTATCGGTACTTCCTTTATATTTTTAAATAAAACTAGCCGTTAAAAACCGTTGGGCTTGCCAGTATCAATACTATGATCATGGTATCGATACTACTATGTAAAGTAGTATCGGTACCCCTTGGGTATTGATACCTATTTTGCATTATGAAATTTGAGCCTTTTGGAAAACAATTGGTAGTATCGATACTACCTAGAGGATATCGATACTTATCTTACCTTTGATATCGGTACCACGTGAACAGTATCGGTACTGTTCATGCAGTATCGATACTGTAAGAACAATATCGGTACTACTTATGTAACACCCCAACCCGTACCCGACCATGATACGAATCTAAGATGTCACATTGACTTTTTCAAACAATTTTCTTACAAAATAACAAAACATTTGAAATTATATTAAGAAAATACGATTATATATTATTGAATTATACTCATTATAATCAATTTAAGAAAATATACCTTTTATGAACAGTAAAATACGGTATGAACAGTATTGCTACAGTGATTTTCGTAAATTGTACATAACACTCGTAAAAATTCAACCGTTCATTTATTTGCATTTATACTTACATAAATACGTTTAAAATATTACAGAACTCGATCAGAGCATAAATACTTAATTTACCTACTTTATTTACATGCCAACCTATTTATCACATGATAAAACATATTATCTAGTTTACTTCTGATCTGACCTTCAAGTGGAGATATGTTGTTCTGCTGAGCTTATAATGGATCTATATGCTTTTCGGTACCTACGTGTAAAACACTTACACGCTAAGTCATAGACTTAGTGAGGCATAAACATAATAATAATGCATTTCTCATAAATATAAACATGCAATCTATGAATTCAATCGTATCGCATATGATTCAGTATACATGATAACATATGATAATGCAAACACTTTAATACCTTTTTATCGTATAAGTATATACCAAACATTTCTATACATACCATGGAACACATATACTATTTCACAACAAAACATACATAGTATCAAATCAATTAATTTATTTACTCTCTTTAAAGACCATGTATTAGCCCATGTATACTTTTGAGAACTTAAGGTATGTGAGTACATTGAGGTTGTGCACAATTATGTTGTCACCACAGCTCGTATAAATGTCCCGAAGGACCAGTCCATAGATTCCGAAGAACCTAGGTAAACAGTCCATATGTCCCGAATAATATAGGTAAACAGCCCATATGTCCCGAAGAACATAGGTAAACCCTCGACCCTTGGCATGCCAACTATACCCCTAGCTCTCACATAACATGGGCATTGTAATTTATAACAGTTCACATAACTTATTCATATCATTTCTTTTATGTCACGTATCACATGTAAGTGTAATCATTGATCTTATAATCACATATTTCTTTTCTTCTGTCACATACCATATGTATGTGTAAACATTTATTTCATATCATATAACATATAATACATATTTTCTTATTCATGTAAGCATGTATATCATGTAACATTTTCATATAATCACTTAGCTTATTTCATTTCACATTGGTCATGTCTCATAGCATATATCACACATGCATATAATCATGTAACATATATAATAAACTATATCCATTTCATGTATTCATGCACATCAGAATCACAAATTAAATAACATTTTAGGAGTCACTTCTTACCATAGTAACTCCAACACTGACTCATCGCAAGCCAATGTTCGTTCAATAACATAAGTACAATTAAAATTGCATTCACCTTAGCCTTGTTTGCTTTGATTCAATCTTAACTCTTTGATTGTTCCTTAACTTGTTTAGGCTCAATTTCTACATAAGCATAATTTTCGAGACGATTATCAGAAGCCTAAACCTTATAATTTGATGTTAATAACTCAGGCTAATTTAATAACCAAATCTCAGCTTTTCCTTTAGTAGTGTATCGATGCACTATGGGTGCATCGGTACACAAAATAGCTTCGAAATATCCATGCATCGATGCACCCCTTAATGCATCGATGCACCTACCCAGAAATCACTGTTCATACGAAAATTCACTCTTTCAACTTCAATTCTTCAAGTTTCATTCCCTTTCATATTCTTAACTCAAATATACATGTTTAAACTCATTTATATCTATTTATTTCATCTTAAACCTCAAAATTCTATTCTCCATATAGAAATCAATAATACCAAATTTTCCATGTTATCCAAACTTAATTCTAACACTTCTATCTTTATTCTCATAGATGACAAGTCAAATTTATCCTCCAAATTCATTTAAACCTTCTTATTCAAAATTTCACTTAAAATCTCATTTTCTTTAATCTATCATAACTCATTTATCTTTTGATTTTAAGATAACTTAAGCTTTCCTTAAGCTTAGTTATCATCTAAGGATCAAAACCCATGCTTAAAATCAACAAACAATCAAGAAATCAGAACTCGCCTTGCTTTGAGTTTTCATGTGGAGAAGAGAAGAAGATGATGAAGAGAATTTCTTTTAATATTACTAACAACTTTCAGGAAATCTCCACATAAATCATTAACTATTCAACTATTCTCTTAATCACCATATTCTGAAATTTTACAATTTAGTCACTAACCCGTAGTTTTGGGATGTTACAACTTACCCAGAAAAACGTTTTGTGCTCAAATTCTAGTTTTATAGACTTTGAATTATTTTTGAAAACTTTGAACAATCAATCAAGTCCAAAAACATTTTGCCTTAATTTATAATTCATAGTGAATGCGATCAATGAATTCAAAATTAGGTTGGCAGGCTGCCTTGATATTTGCCGGAACATTGGTTAATGTGACCCTTTGTAAAGGCTAACGCCAACAACATAAGGGAGAAGTGATGAAGCCCCTTGTTGGCATCTCAAATGACCAGGGTCCTAGCCCTGTGGATATAATTCACGTCCCCCTACATGTAATGGTACCAACAGCATAAAAAAAGGTGTAAAGGCTAACATTGATCTCGTCCTTATGAATGTTTCCAAGTATCAAAGGCACAAACTTTAAAGCTAAACTTGGAATATTCATTTCTGTAAGGTAATATACATTCTTTTTTTCATTTTGATGAGTTCTTTTGGAAAAATAGAGGGTGCAAATCATGAAATTATGATAGATTTTTGGGTACTTCCTTTTGCATTTTCATCTGTTGTTTCTTATTCTTGTTTTCTACATTATGTTGTTTTTATTTGTAATCTCCACATGTACTAGGGCAGTTCTTTGTTGCTGTTCTCCATTTTCTCCATATAAATCAATCATGTTACTTATCATGTTTAATGGAGGCATTATCAGGATCCTCTTTTCTTTCCTTTCTTCTTTTTCAGGCCAGTCGAAAGAAACAAGGTGGCGTAAGGTTTAGCAATTGGAGGATTGTGTAAATTCTTAAGGCAACGTACTGGGAAACGGTACTATGGTGGGTGTCTTAGATAATAGAGAAGAGAAGAAACTGACAGACGATAAACTTTGCAGCTTGATGCTGACAAATATGAATTGGTGACGAACACGACAATGACAGCCAAGAGTATATATTTGTCGGCCACTTGTCGCAAGCGCTTTCACATGGATTTGGTTATGACGAGATTGCATCAAACTGCCCTTGGGGTGGAAAAGTGCCGACTATAGTAAGCAAGTTGGGTTCTTGGCCCCTTGAAATGAGTCATCACAATCAATTTCTCTATCATGAAACATTTAGTGTATGGAATTATCTCAAGGACGACTGATGTTAAGATTTTAGTTTTTCAAGTATGCTTGGAACACTTGCACGAGCTCGGGTACTCCATGTTTCCCCACCACTTTTGTTAATTATTGACTTGTAAAATTACTTGAAACCTAAGTTACACGAACTTGAGTTTTTTTTTATTAGTCTAGAGTGATTACAAGGTAGTATATGTTCAGAATTTTCTTAGTCTATTAATAACATACACCCTGCAGACGCAGTTGCTTGAATCTAAATCATCTATGAAGAATAACGTTCTCTTTTTCTAATGAGGTCATTCAATGGATTCTACTTCAAGTTGAGTATGAATACTAACACATTATATTTTTTTCCCTTTTCATATGGAATCTAGAGTTATCCAATGAGTAATCAAGCAGTGTGCAGCAACATGTTCTGCCTGCAAGATTTTGTAATGCTATGATTTTGTCATGATGGGCTTATCTTTCTTTTGTAATCTGGCAGATTTCCATACCTTCCATATGGATTGGCACATGTCCCACTTTATTCATCATGTTCTTTTCAAATAAAACCTGCAAGCAGTGGATCACTGCCACCACCATATGAACAAAAAAGGAGAGGATTAGATCTCTGATTCAAAGCTTTTCATTCAACACAGTAAGTTGCATCAGTCCAAGTCTTGTTAATTTACATCATTTCATTGCTTTCTAACTTCGTTCTTTTACTTTACTTACCAATCTAATTCAGATTTTTCCAACACAATAATTATTAAACACAGGTATATTGAATTAGTTTCATGTATTTAGAGAGCTTTGGAAGATTTATTATTGTTGATTTTGATTAAGAAGTTGGAGGTCTTAGGCGGTTTATTTATTTATTGGATTGGACGAAGAGTTGTAGTTGGTGATGGTCTAAAGAAAGAAGAGAAAATAATTGGAGAAGACTATGAACAGTAGATGTGGGGTTGAAGATCCTCTCTTTCAGTCTGGCTTATGTAGGTATATATGTCCCTGACACCGGGCAGTAAGACGGTTGGTGTCAGTGCAGGTGATAGATACGGTTGACAAATAGTAGATTTAGCTGGCTATTGATATGTTATAAAAATATGTTCAATTTTTAACTTTTCATATATATATATATATATATACATATATACGAGAGTTTATATGAATAACTTATCCCTATATTTTTTTTAAAAAAACTTTTTTTTTAAAAAATTTGATTTGATATGAACCCACCAAAAAAGGAAAGATAAAAACTGTGTTATAGTTTGTGGAGGGAAGTAACATCAAGCCCTTAAAGTTGTACCTAATGCTTTTTTTTTCCTACTTTTTCTTGAAACATATCATGTGGCTCCCTTTGAGTTTTCCAATTCCACACATCTTTCACTTTATTACGAAATCAGTCCCTTCACCTCTAAATACCTTTGATTGATTCATAACTCAATCAATTTTGATCCACCTGGCATTTCTTTCCTATGAACATTTGTATGCAAAAACAAGATATTTGAACTAAACAAGGGAAGATATAATGTAGTAGTTTGGAGATAAATGAAGTTGATAATATAATGTCATAGTTTGTACATAGAGAATAGGGTTCGTCCCCCTTCTTTACTCATACTCATGACTTATATATTAGATTTTGGTGTTTGTGTCAAATCTTGTACTATGATGGTGTTGTTCGATAACAGGTTTGATTTTGACATATCATGTAGGTCTACTAGTGATCATATCAAAAGAGGATAACTAGATAGAGGAAATGAAACCTTAAAGACTATGCTCAGCAAAGGAGACATTTTCGTGGCCTACATAGACTTTGATGGGCAGAGGTACGATTTATAGAAGACATCCGAGGGAGATACAATACTTTGGTCCCTAATAATGTATATTTCTTTATACTAACCTCCGATTAAGCTCTAATTTGTCTAGGGTAAATATAAGATAGTAGATGTTTAAAAACTCTCAACCATTTGACATTAATCACTGAGATAATTTAGTTAAATACTGGTATTCGGATATCAATTTCTGATATGAGTGACCACCAAAGTTATTTAAACTAAATATGTGAAATAGGTTTTGAATAGAAGGAAACCCCTTTTCAGGTGTCCCATGGAACTTTGCAAAATCCCATTTTTAAGCCGAAAAGCATAGACCCCCACCTATCTACTTTTACTTTAAAAAAGTTTATTTGTTTTGATTTTAATAAATATCTATCAAAATTACAAAAAAGAAAAACACAAAATCAAATACATCCTCAACCTTTTAATAAGTATAAATTTATTTAAAATATTATTAAATAATGTATTGAAAACATTGATGCGGACAAATAAGGCTGCAAAATATAGGAACACATGAATGGAATCCACATAAAAATCATCACCAAAGAGAAAAAAAATGTAATTAATTAAGAAAATAAGCTGAGGCAAAGACAGGTCTCCAATCATTGGATTTTTTATTAAAAAAATTAAATAAAATCACCTCTTTAACATTGTCTTTTTGTCTAATCATTAGCCAAGGAATAAGCTTCAATTTGATTCCATTTTATTTTTTGGTTTATTCCAATTCTATATTTTCGATAATGATTTCCTATATAAGTACACCAAACCTTGATAACTAAGTATAATTAAACAATTACAAAACTTGTTGCACTCTCAAAGCCAACTTTAACCGACGGGATTGGTTCAAGTGATAAACAACTTGGTATCGTTTAAATATGTTTTTGAGTTTGAGTTCGATAATGTTTTTTGTTGCACTCTCAAAGTCATGAGAATCGGGAGGGCAACAAAAAAAAGTGAGCTTTTTAGCAAAGACGAACGCAAATTTTTATGTTAGAGGGTGAATTTATAAAATTTTAAGAGGTGATAAATTTATTAAATTGTAGGGTACGAAAACTAATTATCAAAAGAAAATATATAAAATTTGAAATTTTTAGGAGAATGATTACCCCACCCGCTCCCCCATTGGTCCATCCCTACTTGTTAGGCTTATAAATTGACATAATTTTTGTAACCCAAAATATGTTCATAAATTAATCAATATTTTATTATTTCATGAAATATAATATATTAATAATTGAACTATAGTGTTGCTTGATTGAGAATTGCAAAGATTTCCCTTTTATAAGTGAAATAGAATATTAGACAATTGATAAATAAAAAATTAAATAACTTTTTCTCTCAAATATTAATAATTATCATGATTTCTGCAATAATTAGTAATTAAATATTCACAAAATTCCATTATATTTCAATCACATTAATAGTTCCATGTAAATAAATAATGTCCATTAAAACATCTAAATAATATTTCCAGCATGGAATATAAAAAAATCAATGTAAATATTTCATGTAAATAATAGTTACACATCATAAAAAATTAATGAAAATATTTCATGTAAATAATAATAATTTTGGTGAAATTAAAATCAGAGTTTTTATAGGGACAATAATCACAGTCTACATCAAGTAGGATAAAATTTATCGTAATCTCTTTGTTGGTATTAGCAAAAGAAAATATGTTTGTTGTTAGGTTTCTTTTAGAATTATGTAGTTCCTATTGAGGAATAGGGGATTCCATTCTTTAATTTTCAATGGGAATAATTGTTTTATTCCTATGCATAATACAATTTTATTTATTGTTATGATAGTTTAACGTTTCGTGTTGTATTCATCACGATGCACCAACTGATCGCAAAAGAACGATGGTCTCATATTGTTATATCCCATTTTATAATATTTTGTCGATGCATTCAGAATCATTCGCGAAGTAATCTGTCATATTGGTTCTCTCAATCTACATGCATACATTAATATTGTGTCTAGTTTTGACTAAAGACCGAGAAATTATTGATAGTTGCCATATTTTTTTTTGAAAGAAGACGCATGTATTCAATGGAAGCAGGGGCGGAACACAAGCAAGACTAGAGGGGGCCATCGCCCCCCAAATTTTACAAAAATCTAATTTTTACCCTTAAAATTTGAAAAAAAATATATTCAATTTGACCACTCAAATTTTTTTGAAATTCAAATTAAATTTTAAATTTTATTATTGTTCTTAATTAAACACCCTCCCATAATTTTTTAAGAAGTCTCATTAAGCATCTGAAAATTTTAAAAAATTATAGTTAAACCCTAAGTTTTTGAGAAAAAAAAAATATAAACTAAACCCTTCAAAAAATTTAAAATCTTAAATTAAACCACTAAATTTTATAAAATTTTAAGTTGACCCCCCAAACTCTATCACTTGTCACTGAATGGAAGGTTTTGCTTTTATTTTTCTTCATACCCTTTGACGGAATTTATTTTATCCCATCAGACTCTAAATCATTCGACGAATTTTCTCATAAAAATATTGTTAAAAATAAGAACAAAATTCGAATAAAAAAAGGAGTTTTCTTGTGTAATGATGTTGGAACATTGTTTTGTAAGTCTTATTTCTTTTAAAACAGTGCGAAGACATTAATTCTTTGCAATTCTCCAAATCATGACAATGCATAGTTTTTTTCAAACAAAAAGAAACAAACACTAAAATCCATACGAGAATATTTTGCATCATAATTGCATCACTAAATGTTAATTATATATCATAATTTATATTTAAAATTTGCATAAAAAAGACATACATTTGCTTTACACTATAGCTTAACTCCAAAATGTTTATTTATTTACATATATATCTCAAAATATATTTTTTATAATTATATATATATAGTAGGAAAAAGACCTAAATATAATAGTATGGGCAATATTTTAGAATTCAAAGCTTTGTACTTGGCCATTTCTGAACTCAAATGAAATTGAGTTCTGCAAAGGTGTGTAAAGAGTCAAAGGGAGCCTCCCCAAGCCATGGAGGACATCATAGGAACTATCTTCACTTGAAACAGTGGAGCCACCACTCGGTTCTTCCGCTTCGACCAGTCGATCAGCTCGAGCAATGGTCGTCGGTGACGGTAGACATGTACAACAACAGCAACAATCATCATCAGCAGCAGCAACAGCCTCAAACTAGCCACACATCAACCAGCCGTTCATCGGATTACTCGGCCAGCGTTGGCGGTGACAACAGGGAGGCTAGCGGCGCGGGTGTCAAATGGGCGTCGAGGCTTTTAAGGGAATGTGCTAGAGCCATCTCCGACAAGGATTCTAGCAAAATCCATCACCTTCTTTGGATGTTAAACGAGTTGGCTTCCCCTTATGGAGATTGTGATCA